GGCCAGGTGCCACCATAGAGACTAATTGATTCAGCAAGGCATGAACTTTTAGAGGTGATGGCATCTGAATTCGGTTGTCATCTATGAAACATCGTACCTCTCAGAACCAACTGGTCTCTAAGGTGTTACCCTGCCCTGCCTCCTGCCTGACTTAGTTTCTTCCAGCCTTGCTTCTCTATGATACTAAGAGGTCATCTAGTCCAACCCCCTGCCTGAGGCAGGATCATTCCTATCCAAACCATCTCATACAAATGCATAACATAACCCAGACTCGTGTCAGACTCATCTGGCCCATGGAGCTGGCCCACAGACCAGATTGGACCCCCAGGCTAGCCCTGCATGCTGAATCTAGTATGTGTCCTGAGGTGGCTGGAATGGGTGCTGTGTGCAGCATGGTCTTGCTCTGGCCTCTAGGGCTGTACTGCACACAGCAGCCACTCTGGGGAGACATGTTGAAGTGGACATTGGGGCGTAGTGGCCACAGTGGGCACCGTGCAGCACACAGTGCTCTCTGCCGCACCCCACAGGCTGCCCATGGGTCAGTTCTAAGACCCCCAGGCAGCACTTGGGGCTGGATGAAGGGGCTCCACGGGCTGGACCCAGCCAGTAGGCTATGTCTTTGACACCCTAGTTTAAATCTGTTAGCAGAACTACACAGCCACAAGGCATAACTCACTAACCTGCCCCAGGTAAAGCAGGGGAACCACAATGATCAATGTCCTGCTGCTCCAGGGGTTGTTGAAATATGCTTAAGAGATCCAAGGAAAGACTTCAGACTACCCAGCTAATTACAGTAAGATACAGATTCTGAAGGACCGTGAAACTGAAGATGAAAGAAATGCTGTGGTTGGAGTTTAACAGCAGACAGCCAATTACATATGAGATTACTGGGATATACCAGCAAAAAAGCCAAAGGGGTGCATATGGTTGTGTAGAGCAGTGGTCTCCAACCTTTTTAGATTGCGCACCCCTATCAGTAAAAAATTTTGAGCACACACCCCCAATATATACATTGCAATATACTGAAAGCGAACAAACGAGTGAGGGCACCACTGTCAACCCCTCCACACTGTGGAACTCCCACTCTTCCTTCAGATTACCTTCCGTACCGTACGTGACGTGTGACCGTCTGACATACGGGCACCAGTGTCGATCCATATATTAAATATTAATAAATCTTAATTTCTTTCTTATTTTTTTAGATAAAAAATAAATATAAATAGAAGTTCTAATATTTTCTTCCTGCACCCCAGTGCATGGTCTTGCTCACCCCGTGGGGCGCGTGCATCCCACTTTGGAGACCACCGGTGTAGAGTCATGTCCTGGATCAGGGGGTTTCTCTTCACACCACATCCATGTGACTGTCTTTCTACTTGGACATTCCAGTCCAAGCACCCCCACAACCTGGTAATGTGCAGCTGAAGGGAGCTTGAAGAGCAGCAGAAATGGCTGAGGGGCTAGGGCAATGTGTGAGAAAAGGGGATAGAATGGAAAGCAGGCCTTTGCTTGGTTAAGTGATGTCCGATAGGAAACTTAACTATGAGCGTGACTTGAAGGGTGAAAAATAGTGAGTAGTCATTCAGTGCATGCTGGGCTGCAAGATCTTTGGGACAGCAGCCTTGTCTAATTAGCCATTCTGTGAGGTGTGTAGGAATAATGCATGAACCTGAGAGAAAAGAAACTCTAGCTGGCTCCTGGGATACTTCCCCCAACAGTGATGCCTACTAAGGTTCATCCGTGCTAGACTTTTTTTTCTTTTCACCTTCACCTAAGATAAATAGCTAGTATTGGCAGTGTGGGACAAACATTTGGAGAGCATCCATTCCAGCCTTTAGAAGCATGTGTTATCTAGTGTATTTTATTTGTCAGCCAGTTTAACTGAAGGTGTAAAATCTCTGGCACAAACGAGCCTTTAGAGTGCTCTCCCAGAGTGGAGTCAAATGTCACCATATTCCTAACTTCTTTACCCATGGGGGAGGGGATCGTGGAAGCTGTACTTAAATTTGGGGCTGTGGTCGAAGTGCACCCAGGCAGTGGACTCTTCTGAGATAGAATCAGGCTGGAGGTACAGGCCTGCTGGTAATGATGGGTGTTTGTTCATGCGCTTCCCTTCCTTTCCCACGATGAGGGTTCTCCAGAGGTCTGTGTGAAAGGGGAGGAGGAGTGGCAATGTGAAAAAATGAGATGGAAAGGAAGGCATGTTCTGGGGGCTGCACTTCTCTCTGTGGTCACTAGATGGTAGAAATTGCTCACTTGATTCTTAACTGGCAAGTTGAATGGTGGGTGTGGTGCCAAAATATCAGGTTACTTCTAGCCAGGGTTGGGTTTTGGAGGAGAGAGGTGCAAAAGAGTCTGTTTTGGGTAAAGAGGTGCTGTGTTTCACATAGGTGAAGTGTTTAATGTTAATAGACACCATTTACAGTGCAAATCTGCTTTGAGAAGTGATGGAAATTACACCATGGGACTCCATGTTCATTGGGTTACTATGTCTCCAGCTCAAACCTGCTCAATTTGCAAATGCTGGCCTTTGCGAATGATCCTGCTCTGGCTCCAAGAGCTGTCCTTGCAAAGAGCAGATGAAAATTCTTGTCCCTAAGGTCACCTGCCATGACTCCCAATCTGTTTGTTTGGGAGGATGACCCAAGAGCAGATCTGAGGATGGAAGGTGCCTTTCTGCACTTTTACTACCTTATCTGTTACTTGAAACAGATATTTGGTCTGCATGGGACAACCTTTGTCGGGGTGTAATATGAACATGGGAACTGTCAAATTGAATCAGACTTAAGGTCCCCCAAGGCCACAGTTGGCCAGTCTGTGCCATGGGTGCTATAAGTGGCATGGAAAGCCTGTGTGTGCAGCACTTGGCAAACCTGGGAAGGAGAAGGCAGCACAGCAGCAGACAGGGAAGGGAAAAAAAGCAGATCAGCAGCAGGGGAAAGGGGTCAGAGTGGCACTCGAGTATGGGACTAGTTTGTGGCAAGCCTGCTAAAAAAGGTGGCCCCTGCAGCCCTAGACCATTCTCCTCTTTCTGACAGTGGCCAGAATCAGATGCTTCATGTAAGTGGAAGAACCCCTGCAACAAGCAGAGGTGGGATAATAAGCCCACCATGTCACCTTTCACTTGTGTGTAATGGGGAGAGACTGGCTTAAGCCCTGAAGTACAAAGTTCAGTATTCAATTCAAGATTCTTGGTAGTGTTGGGGTGATGTTGCTGCAATGATGGTCCAGGAGATACGCAAGAGGCAAGAATTCTTGTGGGTGATACCTTTTATCAGACAAATTGTATGGTTGGTATAGATGGAGCTTTTGGGTATTGTAGTAGGCCTGAGAGAGGGTACTCTGATGCCTGAGAGCTTGTCTATATCTATACCAAGCATATCATTGGTCCAATAAAAAGTATTGCCCTCAAGAATTCTTGCCTCTGGAAATTCTTGATTTTTTTTTTTTTTTTGTTGATTTCCCCCCCCCCCATAGGAACCATGAATTTGTGAACCATGAATCTGAGATCTTTCCCCTCTTTCTAGTCTGTCAGATCACTAATGCCTCCATTACCCTTTCACAGGCTACATTTCTTCCATGGCTTGTATAGGACATTAATATCTCCGTAGTGTGGGGTACTAGGGAATAACACTTCTGTCACCCTGCTTTTGTCTCCTCCATGAATCAAACCCAGTGAGCTGTTTATGCAAGCTTTTGCTCCCTGTTTGGCAGTGCCTTTTGAATTTGCAATCCAGATCTTAGTGTTGAACTGCCTATCTCCAGATGTTTATTGGGGTGACAGGCTGCACAGCCCTCCTGGGAATCCACTGTAACTCAGCATCTGTGGTACTGGGTTCTTCTGAGCCCTTTCCCAGGCACTCCCTCATTCAGGGGAGATGTCTATTCAGTAGTCCAAAAAACAGATATTAGGAAGGCCTAAAATATAACCAACCCTCCTGCCATAAGTTCCCTCATTTGCATGTGTGCATCCCACAGCAACTGATAGTAAGCAGGCTGCAGCCCAGTCTACTCTACTGCTCCCAGATTGGATTCCTAGGTTGTTTTCATTGTCATTGAGCAAAATGAATGTGTTGGTTTGTATTCAGCTATCAAAAATCATATAATGGTGATAGTCACTGCCTTAGCTGACATATTGGGGTTTGAACTGGGAACTTAGGGGTAAAAGCATGAACAGCCAGAGCTTGACCTAAAAGGCCAAGGCTGTGGCAGAGAGGGGACTTTAATAGGCCTTCTGTCTGATCTACAGAAGAACACCAGTTACCTCTTACACACCAGGGAGGTTATGTAACTGTAGAAGTCATGTATTTATTGTTATACTCTATGCAAGCAAGGTTGCAGCCCTTGTCTCCTGACAAGGTGTGGCTAATGTGGCCTTAGCCACAGGTCATCCCAAGTTGAAGAGCCCTTGACTTGTGGCTAGCTGGGTCTTGGGTGCATCTCTAACTACTCTTTTTTCCCCCTCCCCCCACCACCGCAGGCTCGGGCCCAAGCGGAGGCCCTCCACATTGGGGATGTGCACTTCTCTGTCAAGCCTGGCTCCAGCACCTCGTCACCCAAGCTCCACTCCAGTGCTGCGGTGCACCGGCTCAAGAAGGATATCCGGAGATGCCACCGCATGTCCCGCCGCCCCCTGCCCCGCCCAGACCCCCAAAACAGTGGGAGTATGGGCGGGGCAACCGGCATCCGTCCTCCAGTCTCGCCTTTCTCAGAGACCGTCCGCATCATCAACCGCAAGGTGAAGCCTCGCGAGCCCAAGCGCAGCCGCATCATCCTCAACCTAAAGGTCATCGATAAGGGGGGGAAGACCACTAATGGGTCAGGGGCGCTGGCTCGGCCAAAGATCCCTTCCCGAAACCGTGTCATCGGCAAGAGTAAGAAGTTCAGTGAGAGTGTCCTCCGCTCCCAGATCCGCCACATGAAATTCGGCACCTTCTCTCTCTATAACAAGCCGTCTGCCACACCAGCCTCATCACTGGAGGGGAAGACGGAAGCAGAGGGTTCCCAAGCAGCCTCCTGTGGGCTGATTGTGGGCTCCACCCCTTACGATGCCCGCAGCTCCAGCTCCTCTGGCTGTCCCTCACCCACCCCACACTCCTCCTCTGACCCAGATGATTCTCCCCCAAAGCTGCTTCCCGAGACCCTCAGCCCTGCCATCCCTGACTGGCGTGAGTCAGAAGTGCTCGACCTCTCCATCCCGCCCGAGTCAGCAGCCACCAGCAAGCGGTCACCCCAGGGGGGATGTGGCGGGAGCCAGACACCACCATCATCATTCCTCTCCTCCTCCGACCCAGAGCAAGAGGCAGGCGACTGGCGCCCTGAGATGTCCCCATGCTCTAATGTGGTGGTCACAGATGTCACCAGCAACCTCCTGACGGTGACCATCAAGGAGTTCTGCAATGCGGAGGATTTCGAGAAGGTGGCAGCGGGTGGAGGTAGCAGCGGCAGCAAGTGAGCAGCTGGATCCCTGCACCGGGGTGGGGGGAGGCTCTGCTGCGAGAAGTCATGGTGTGAATGGCTTGTGGTTAGTTTTCTCCTTCTCCCCCCTTCCCTCTCCCTTTTTGTTTTTTTTCTTGTTCCTTCCTGCTTGGAGACTGGGGTGGGATGGGGGTGAGGGAGGCTAGAAATCTGAGGTTCCCAGATGTCACTGCTGTGAGTGGGTGGGGGTGGGAAGCTATTGGTCCCAAGGAACATGTCAAATTAGTGTGGAGCCTTGGGGGTGGGGAGAGAGAGAGAGAGTGTGTGTGTGTGTGTGTGTGTGTGTGTTTGGGGCAGGGAAGGATCTCTACGCCACCCTACCTGAAGGTGCTGGTGAGCTTCTGCTCTTGGTAGGGAGGGGAAGGGGCATTGAAAAGGGAGCCCATGGCAAGTATATGATCCCTTATGGTTCTTCTCCTTGTCTTCTCCTGAGGCAGCTCCTAATCTTGTCCCCTTTCTGTGGTATGGATTGGCGCTCTCCTGACTTCTGGCCAATGATACCTGACATTATCAGAAAGACAGACAAGAGATCAGACCATAAAGCATTGTGGCTAGAGCCCAATTGCAGCACGGCCCACATATGGGTGTCTGCTCTTGCAGTTCATGACCCAGGCTCACTTCCTTCTTGCTCTTATGATTGGTGCTAACTTGGCAGTTGTATGGGCATTTTGAGACCACCTGGGCCCTTGCTCCTTCCTTTCTTCTGCTTCTTCCCTCCTGGATCTTCCAATATGTTCAGCCTCTTTGGGACTGTTGCTTCCATTCTGGATCTTCCTCCTAGTGTTCATCACTTGCACTTGCTTGGGTACAGGGCATAAAGTAGCCTTCCTAAGCTTTTCCGTGGTGGAAGTGGGAGAACTGCACATCCGTCCTTCAGTCCAGGGGGAGAAATGTACATAGAGTGATGGTGCCCCAGCAGGGTGTGGCCAACAGGTCATCTTGCACAGAGCTCCACCAAATCATTTTACTGTCCTTGCCCTGCTGGTGGCAGGAAGGTGGTCTCCTCAGTTTGATCTGTTCGGTTGGTGCACTGGAGTGGATTCACCTCTGCCTTTCCAAGGTCTGAAATTGCCTCTACAATTGTCAACCAAAGGTGCTAAGAACCTGTTGTAAGATTTACTGGGTCTCTTACACATGTGCGTGAGTGTGTGTGCATGCATATGCTTCTCCCAACTCCCTAGTTTCTTGCTGAACATGATTAAAAAAAAAATCTGAAATTGCCCCCACCCCTTGCACCTGGGAGCAGGTGAGTGCAGCTTCCATCATTCCCCTTCCCCTCTGTGCTGTTAATTTCCAAGCCACAAAAGGACTCTACTCTGTTTTGTGAACAAGCTTGGTGGTAAGATGCCGTTCTCTTGTTTTTTTCCGCTGGCGTGGTGCTGAATCTGAGGAAAGCGGAGACAAGGGGAAGAGAGGCTGACACAGTCCATCTTCATTTGTGTCCTTGTATCTGCCTTGATCCCATTATTGTGAGCGGGAGGGTATTGGGCCCTCTCATTATAGGACCCATACATTATCTTACCTTTTATATGCATGTGGGGTGGGTGGGAATGTGAGAAAGGAACTCTGTCCAGATGGCTCATCATCACCCAAAGAGCAGATTGAACTGGGTAGAGTTCACACTTTTTGCAGGTGGCCACACCAGAATTCAGGTTCTAATCTGAAATAAGTGTCCACAGGGATTTGCGTCAAAACTACAAGAAGTGCGAACTAAAACCAGTTTAATTCAAGCTTCATGTCAGCCATCTGAGAGATGCTTCCAGGTGCTGTTAGTCTCACCCTGTGTGCACATTATTATTATTTTTTTAACACACAATATTTAGCAGCTATGTTTGCAGGGGAGTGGGGAGAAGGAGGTTTTTTTTTCCCCCCCATTCATACACCAATTCAAGGCTTCCTGTAATGTGCGTGTGTATGCGTATGTATGTGTGTATTAATATCTGCCTGTTGTCTTTGTGGGTTTTGAGTTTTTTGCATCTTTCTTTCACCTTGTGCACCCAGGATTCTCTTATTTCTTGACAGCTTATTCTTATGGCTGCAGCTTCATGGACAGGTGGCTTGGGACAGGGGAAGAATATCTATATTAGGGGAAATAGCAAGGAGACCTGTATTAAAAGGAAAAGTTTTTTAGAAAATAATTATTTTATGAGGCTGCAAGATAAGAGGAACTATTTTATGGGGTAGATGCATACTGGCCAGTCACTTTTTTTTTTTTTAGTCGTTTGGTTACTGTTTGGCGTGTATGTGGTGGTGTTCCTGTTTTGTGGTAATGAAGTTCAGAAATGTTCAAAAAAGTTTGTGGGAGATAAAAAGGGAACTTGTAATAGGAAACTCTTGATGTGTTTTAGCCAAGAATTGTTTACTTGGCCAAATTCTTTTTTTTCCCCCTGCCCCTGATGTCTGTTGCTCGGTGTTCTTGGATAGTTTCCAAACTGAAGGGTTTTCGCCTTCCTCTGGAGTGATGAATAACAGGATTGTCCATTAGGAGCTGCAGGTGGGTCTGTTGTAGGGAACCTCTATGAGGACCAGACAGTTGGTGACCCTTCTCTCTGCAGTTGGGAGGTGAGGGGGCTACTGGGCTTTGGAAGAACTTGCATCCTAGATCCATTTTGTATTGGAAAGAAGTATGATTCAGTCAGCAGAAGTAGCTAGACCACTTTTGGGTGATGTCCCTACCTTTGGGTTATCTGCAGGGACTGAACCTCTGGATCTAAAAGCATGAGCCTCTCTACTGCTTGAATTAAGGACCATCTCTGAGTGCAGTAGGACCCTCAAGCTTTGTGTGGTCCAGTTACCAGAGACTGATGAAGATTTATGCTGGTATAAAAGTGGCTTTATACTCACCTTTGTGAATTTTTCTCCCCACTCTTAACCGGGAGATAGAAAGGAAGGTCCCACCCATGTCCTTTAGGAAGGGCATGGGGTCAGACGAAGGGTTTATTCAAAAGCATTCCCCCCCCAAAAAAAAACAAACAAACAAACAGGGAAGCATTCTCTGTGTCTGTGCCATGTATGTTCTCTTGTTGTGTTTTTAGAGATTTTATGATGGAGTGGAAAAAAGTGAAATGATTAGTTTTGCAAAAAAGAGAAAAGTTTAAAAAAATGACATTTCTACAGGGAGAGAGAGTTTTAAAATGAATAATAAATGCAGTGATTGCACAAACTGTAGTGGTATTAGATGGTCCTTAGAGAAGAGAGTATTTTGTAGTATTAAAGTGTTTGTGTGTCTGGGATGGTCTTTGGCTCACTTAAACTGGAGAAGGATGTTAAGGGTAAGCAGCAATTTCTGATCCGAAGTGGCAAGTCACATTTTGGAGGAACCCTGGATATTTACCCTTCTCTTTGCCACTTCCCCAAACCTTGGAGTGACCTCCATCCAGCAACCTTACCAGACCTAACCCCCCTCCCCTATTCACTCCTCTCCACAGATAAGATGGAGACTGAACTGTTGCCCCATTCCTTCCTGGGTGCAAGGGTGCCAAAGTTGTAGCAGAAGTGGTAAATCCTGTTCTGGCAGAGTCCAGGTGAGGCTGATGGCATGGAAATGGTCTGTTGACTTTCTCTGCATGCAGGTTGTGCCACTGAGACGTTCAGGCTAGCTTGCACCTTCCTTGCCAAATAACCACTGCAGGCAGGAGCAGAATAAAGGCAGCCCAACTCCCCTCCTAGTCTCTTGGTCCCTGCCATGTAAGGGAATGGCATGTTACATATGGAAGGTTGGAGGTTTTTAAGCCCAAGCTAGACAAAGCCTTGGCTGGGATGATCTAGTTGGGGCTTGTCCTCCTTTGAGCAGGGGTTGGATTAGATGACCTCCTGAGGTCCCTTCCAGCTCTCATTTTCTATGATTCTTAGTTGTCACCCCAGCATTGAAAGAGCAGAGTCCCATCTGAGTTGGTGTCCCATCTCTGGCAGTGGCCAATGCCAGATCTTCAGAGGAAAGCGAAAACCCCTGTGTGTACTTGAAGTTTCAGACAACTGGGGAGCGCCCTTTCCTTGGGAGTGCTGGGGTTCACAGGATGTGGGGGGGACAATGAGTGACATGGGGTGGGGTGTTGCCAAGAGCAGGGCTGTATTCTGTTGGTGGGGTGCTGCTTCACTGTCTCTTGAAGTAAAAGAGGCTGCTGTTGCCATCACGCCTCATGTCTGCTGCATGGTGGTCACCGGATCTGTTGGGGTGACCATAAGAAAGAAGACAACCAAACATTGGCCTCTGAATGTAACAAAAGTGAGTGGATGGAGGTCATCTGGCAAAATGTTTTGTTCTGTTTTTTCCCTTGTCAGGGTCTCTCCTGTGCATTCTGGGTAAAAACAAACCAACCAAACAAACAAAACTACTTCCCTTGTCTGGGCTGGTCTTGGGAACTCACTTTCTCTTCTTCTCCCTGCCCCCTGAGCTCTGCTATTGCTCTTCCCTCATGACCTGCAGCTTTCATACTGAACAAACATACGTGCCAGGGGTGGGTAAAATGCGGCCCGCCAGGTCATTTTTTCTGGCCCATGGAGCCCCTAAAAATTCAGAAAATTAATATTTATCTCTCCTTGGCTGCCTGCCATGCGGCCATCGATGGTTTGCCAAAACTCAGTAAGCAGCCCTCTGCCCAAAATAATTGCCCACTCCTGGTATATGCCAATCTCCTACCTTCGCCCAGTACTCCACTCTAGACTGATTGGAGTTGGGATAGTTCCATGAAGCTGACAAGGATGCAATGCCTTTTCCAGGGGTGGGAGGATGTACGTAGGCACTGTGGACTCCAGAAGGTGGTCCTGGTTTCTAATCCTGGGTGAACCACTGATTCTCTTTGTATTTTCAGGGGTGAGGGGAGTTTCTTTGTCTCCCAGTGCTTTAGTTCCACATGTACCACCACCCCTTACTCCCCCAAGCTGAGGGGGAAGGTCAGACCCTCCCTCTGTTATCAAATAGGTGCTGAGCTGAGTCTTCCTGGGGAATGAAATCCCCTTCCTGGCCCCTGCTTTTAGGGGAAGTTTCAGCAGCTTTGCAATATTTCCAACAGCTGGTTTAATCACCTTCCCAGGTGCCTATCCTTCTGGGAGTGGAGAGGCACCCTAAAGAATACACTGAGGTGTAGCACTGGTTGGGGGCATGGAAGCATTTTTTTCCCTCACTCCTGCCCTTCTGGCCACCTCGGTAACTGTGGCGTTGGGGGGGGGAAGGAGGGTAATGAAACCGTTGGGGGAGACCCTTCTTCTCAAGTGGTGTGAAATTCTAGTTGTGTAGAGGGGGCATGTGCAGGGAGGTGTGACAAGCCTAAGATCGGGGAGAGGGTTTATGCTTGCTGGCTTGTCCGGACCCCCTCTTCCCCCCTGCCCCACTTGCCTTTTATCCCAAGGCCTTGCACTTCTTGCCTGGCACACCCTGTACTCCAATATTGCTTGCTTTGCTGCATATTTCAATTCTGCCCAATAATCGTGCAAGAGCTGGGATCTTATTTACTTTTTTATATAAAAATATATATAAATATTAAAGAATCCCCCACGTAACCCGTCCCAATCCTTGTACTGAAGGCAGCATGGTCCAGAGGGTTGATCTTGGGGCTGGGAACTAGGTGCTGCTGGGTTCTTTTCATTTGATTTGCTGTGGCCTTGTCCCAGCTGGTTCACTGCCCTGTGTCTCCATTTCTTGTACTCTGCCATGGGGAGAAAGCATCCTCATTCGTACAGAGCTATCCAGGTGCCAGATATTGCTTCAGAAAAGCCCCTTGTTTGACCTCAACTCATTTTGTTGCTGCTCTGGTGTTGAATACGGCAGTATTTGGGGCTCTCCCCCAAACATACATTTTGGGGGAGGGGAGAACCTACCACCACTACTTTCACCATTGTTGCCCAGAAGTGGCCTACATCTCATCTGTGTCTTGGCAGCTCCTACTTGTCTTCCTCCATCTATGGCAAAGCAGTAGGTCTGACACAGTCTATTATGCTCTGGGATTTGTATGTTGGCTAAGATGTGCTGTACACTTCCAGGGCTGAGAGAGCCCTTACTGGCTTTTAAAGAAGACTGGGGATTCAATGACTTCCCCCAGCTCCTTTAAAATGTCTCCATCAAGGTACAAAGTGGAGATACCAGTTATCTCCATGGTTGTAACCCTGGCAGTCCTGTCCCTCCCATCTTCTGTGTAGCACAAAATGAAACCCCCTACAGGATTGTGTAGAAGTGTGGGGCTGAATCCAAGGCAGGCTTTCCACCTTAATGGTACACATTATTCACCCTTATGAGGTCATTCTGCTCTCATGTCCCAAGGGCTAGAGAGTGAGAATCTGTCTGGGAAACTCTACAGAGGCAGTCCCAGCAATGGGTGGAGTGGAGCAAGGAACCCCCTGGTTAGTGTGAAATGGGTGGGGAAAAGGAAAAACAATGACATGAGAAAATCAGTAAGAATAATTGGAGTGGTGCCATCTTAAATGGTGGTGGTCGTGGTGGTGGTGGATGGCTTGAAGTATCAAATTCGGGGAGGGCACTGGTGGCTGCTAAACAGATTCAGGGTTAGTCCCCTGGGGAGATAACACCTCAGGAGGACCTGATTCCGCAAAGTGTGCATGCTTAAATCAAATTGTCTTTAGCAAAAGCACTTAAAGTATGTCCTAGACTTTAAGAAGTCTGTCATTTATATGTCAAAATGCTTCACAGAATCGGAGCCTTGCCAGTTGTTGTTTTAAGAATCAGAGTGAAAAACATGACCGCAGTCTTTGTGCTTCCTTCAGCAAGGACAGAGGAAGTAGCTGGGTCAGCATGTATCTGATGCTTCTGACACTAGGGGAAGGTAAGGGAGGGGTTGGCCTATGTCCTTGTTGGAGGAAGGAGCAAGAACTAGTCTCTAAATTCAAGTTCTTAAACATAATTTTAAAAAATGTACTGACCTCTACATTTTGGAGATAAGCTACTTGATACATCCCTACCCTGTTTCCCTGCCCTTAAATCCCCTCCCTTTATGGCAGATTTTTTCATCAGAAATGTTTTTTTTGTTGGTTTGTTACCTTCTGCATAGAAAATTGCAAGGTGCTGGTGGGGAAATCAGGGTTTCCCCTGTTTGCCTTTTGTTTCCCATCTCCTGGTGCCAGGCTTTGGCTCCGATCCTGCAGACTTACGCACACAGTTTCAGCATCCAAGTACTCATGGATCTCTGTGGTACTTGGCTACTTTGGGTTAAGCATGTGCTTTTGTCCTGGCAAACACTTTTATCGCGGATTTGTGTAATGGTGACAGTCCTAATACAACCCAGTTGTCTTTTCCCCTCACTTGGCACAGAGTGGAGGTGGTGACTTTTTTTTTTAATTTAAAATAAGCCTAAATATGTATCTTGTAATTTTTTTTTAATTTTGAAAATGCATTTAATTAAAATCATGCCCAGATAAATTGTATATCTATATATATATCTATATATATATATATATATATATTATTTTTTGTCTTGCAATTTTCATTTTTAAATAGAGTGTTTGCATTTTTTTTGTTTTTGTTTTGTTTTTAAATCCAGTTCCCAGCTGGCTAAACTCTGTCTGGAGTGGATGGATGGGAAGCATAGTCTGGGGGGGAAAGTGATAGGATCATCCCTCCCATTAGCGTTTCCAACGGAGAATGGGTTTGCTCCGGGTCTGGGGTAGGAGGTTGTGCTAATTACACTTGTATTCTTGTACATTTTGTTCTTTCTGCTGCTCTTGAATATTGTATCAATGCCAGAAATGGGGAATTAAAAGAGGAAAAAAAAAACCCCAATAAATTGTTACATTCCAAAGTCTCTTGTCTGCCTTGAGTGGTCGTGATCTCAGTTGTATATGGAACTGATGTCTTCATTTATTGATCAAATCTGTCAAGGGAAGGAATGGTGGTGGCCCCACTGCCTAAGGGAATTACAACTGCTTTGGCCCAAGTATGAGGGAACATACTGCAGGGAATAACTTCTGAGTGGCTCTGAGTGTCACTTTAATTAAAGCACCTGCAGCATCATGTGTATTCAGCATCCTGTGCTTCAAAATGGCAGCAGGGGTTCTTTAAAGCTCATTCAACAAGCTTTAGTTATAGCCTCTCCCTCCACCATTTTGAAGTGTGGGGTCACTGACTGCATGACACAATCTCCTAGAGGGTACCAAAGCACTCATCACCTCTCCTTCACGTCTAGCTTGTACCCTATGGATTGCCATAACTTGGTTCACACGTGACAACATCTTCCCCCATTCCTTTGTCAGTGTGCCAGAGGCAAGAAAGCAAGGAAGAACTGCCCTGCATAAGGGGAGAGTTGTTTTCCCTGCCAACCCTTTTCTGGGGCTCCTCCAATGGCATTCCTTTCATCAGGTGGCCAAGAGTTTGGGCTGAGTGGGCAGCCATGTGCTCTGTACCTCAGCCCCCAATTTCCTACACCAGTGAGTCCCCCTTGACTTTGAGCATAACTGGAGCCAATGGCTCAAGGGAAGGGTTTGGTACACAAAGCCTAAGTCTTTGAATCATCCAGGTCCCTATGATTCAGGGCTGCACTGGAGCTAATGACCCTAAAAAGAAAGTTTCCAGCACCTACCATGTTTCAGGCAAGAAGGTCCATCATAGGGAAACAATCTAGGCGATAGCTGCCTATCGCAACAGCTGAACTTTTTAGCTCTCTGCTCCTACAACCACCAGCACCTCACCAATCTGTTCCCTCTTTCAGGCTTCTTTTCCTGATGGTCAGTGGTTAGGTAGATGGTGATCTCCCCACTTTACTTCCTTGTTCCTTTTGCCTTCCATCCCATTCTGGCTTTTCAGAAAGGGTAAAGGGACCCTGGGGGGGAGAGGGGGGTCTATGGAGGTAGTATATAAGGAGCAGCTTCCCCTTTGCAGTAGGGCAAAGCCTAATAAGGCACCCACTTGTCCCATCCTGTGAGTGAGGAAGAGAAGGCAGAGACAGTTCAGAGGTAAGGGGAGACCAGAACTGAGCTGTTCTGTGGATTTGAGTGGAGTAGCAAGGACATGTGGAAAGGGCTGGAGAGAAATGGATCAGAGTGGCCAAAAACCAGCATTTTGATGGTGAAAAGAGGAAATGAGACATAGGATAGAGTGGGGGCATGGATGGAGGAGGAAGTGAGGTACATGGTGAGCATTAGAAGGACTGGGAGGGTAAATGAATGGGGTAGGGACTGGGTCAAGCTGATCTGGTGGTTCCTGTGCAATCACATGATCAAGCCTCTGGCTGCAAATCCCAAGAGTCACCATGTAGCCTCCTGGGCTACAGCCATTTCTTAGGCTCTGCCAGCTGGCAGGGGAACCCAATCCTCCAGGTGTATGGAGAATAGAAACCGCGTCCAGCACTGGGAAGGTGTTCAAGGAATGTGAACTGGGAGAACTTTCCTATTCCTTGGAGTCTTAAAGCGAGGTCGTTCATTCCACACCATGTGGCCCTGGGGCCATAGCACTGCATCGTGCTAGGACTGCAACCTGTCCCTGGCAGGAAGGAGTTCTTCCTGAGCCAGGAAGTTTGGCAGCATTTGTCTGAACGGTCTCTCAGGAGCTGCAAGAGCATAGATGGGGAGAAAGCAATTTCCTGGAAGATGGGGAGTGGAAATGCTCTTAAAGAGTATTTCCAAGAGCTCAGGGCATATGGGACCTGTAGTTCAGGCATGCAGCGTACTGGTAAGTTAACAGTGTGATTTGCCCCTGACAGACTCTTGGAAAACGTTCCTTATAACCACCTGATAGGCTTCCTCAGATGCAGACAGCCTTATCTTGAAAGAATTTAAAAATCTTAAAACGGAAATTGCCCCTGGTATTTCATTGTTCCCTTCCCCAACTTTTTTGTGGGGCTTGGAGGGGAGAGAGGAAAGAACTCCAGGCTAGTAACCCTTCTGCTTCTACTGAATTTCCCCACATCTGCCCTTAGCTCACCAGCCAGCCGGACAGAAGGGAGGGGGAGCTATCTGGTCCTCTGCTGTTTTCCATGGTGACTGCTTTATTGCAGTTAGTGTGGCTGCCTGGCACAAGGTCAAGCTTTGCTGATTTCTTTCCCCTCGTGCCAGCTGTAGTGAGCCAGGGTTCCCTTATCTGCATCTCCTAATGCAAAGGCCACAGCAGGTCTGGTATGCCCAAATTAGATTTGCCCTTTCGGACTCAGATCCTCCAGAAGAGCTGCCAGCAGGAGACACTGACTGGTTGTTAATTGCAGATGGACGTGGGAAAGAAATCCTTTAATCTCCCTCGAGGTTGATGCTAAGAGCTGTTGTTAAAATTGGCTTCTGTCACCAATCCTGCTTGTCACCACTTCCTACTTTCTAAACCCGGGGCAAGTCTCTTGGTGCTCTGCCCTCCACAAATAAAAAGGTCAGCAGGTAGGAGATGACAATCAAGGCCATGCCTGATGGAGATTCTGGTTCTTGAAGCTCTTCCAGCACTGCTCACAGGGCCAGGAGGCCCTTTGCACCTGGCTAAATGCCAGCTGGAGTTGTTACATCCTATTAAACTCCATTCCTGCCTCCTGTTTCCAACTGGAGAATCTGTTGTTTGTAGCATAGCAGTGCCTGAAGAGTTCATCTGAGATCAGGGCCCCACATACTTGGTGCTGTGCAAATGCACAGCAAGCATTCCTGCCTTCACACTCCAAATAAACAAGATGCATAAAGGAAGCTTCATTTCTCTCATTTCATATGGGAGAATGGGTGATGAAGTGGGGTGGAGCAGAGAAACAGCACAATCTGCCCCAAGTGATATAAGGCACCTGGCACACCCAGGACCTGCCTGACCCTTGCTATCCTGAGTCCCAGTCTAGTGCTATAAGATCATCCTTCCTCTTTAATAACTTAATCCTCACTTCTCTGTTGTTTGACTCCTTTGCAGTGGAAGGGGACCAGATACACCTACAGACAGATGCAGTCTGTAAAACTTAAGATGATGCTCCAGAAGGAAAGATCTGCAAATATTGACACTGGGCCTTAAAAATCTTGCAAGGCACTTCATTATTGAAGAGGCAGGGAATACACTTATTTTAAGGGATGGATCTTGCATTATCAGGCTGTTTGGAGTACCAGAATCCCTTGGTGCTATAGGTCAGGGGTTGTCAACTGGGGGTACACATACCCCTGGGGGTACTTTGAAAGGTCCCAGGGCGTATGTGGGGGCAGGCAGGGATGGAGTGCCACCACCCCGTGCCACTGCCTCAGAGAAGCAGGGCTGGGTCAGGGCTGCACAGACACCATGCTGCTACCACTCACCACCCAGCCACTCAGCATCCAGCCACTTGACAACCACATTCCTCCCTGCTTGGTGCCTGGCTGGTCACCCCCCCCCCACACACACACACACACTTAGCATTCAGTTACTCACCACCCTCCCTCCAGGGGTATGCTTATTAAAAAGGGGGCTGCCAGGGGTACACTTATTAAATAAGGTTGAAAGCCTCTGCTATAGGTCACATGTATACCACATCCAGGAGGGCTGTGCTTAAGCCTGCCCTACCCACTTGCTAAACCAGGAAAGATGGTGGTGCATGCTTGCAGAAACCAGGATCATCCTGGGACAAAAAGAGAGGCCTGTGTTCAGACCACGGCTGCTTCACAGTGAAGAAAGAGCAGTGCTCTAGCCAGGCTAAGTTAGCATGGATTCTTGTTGGTACTATAGGCTGCCTTTCCATGGCTTGTGAGAGAGAAGAACATTTCTCCTCTCTTCAGTTCCTACCCCCGCTGGGGAGGGTGGTTGTAGGTTGGTGTCTAGTTCTCCAGCCTGGACCACACCAGTCAGCCATCTTTTTGCCCTACCTACTATTCCTAAGCAGTTTCACATCCGGTACATCACATCCAGAATGTTCTTCATAATTTAAGTATCTTGTCATTGCTTATGATCTGGCACACTCTCTCAGCCTCTGCTGTCTTATCTCTGTAGACTCTCTAGCCTTCTGCTCTGCTCTGCAAGCCCTTGTCACCCTGCTTCAACAATCTCCCTGGCCGCCTGCTGTGGACTTTGGCCCCTTCAATAGGCGGACCACAAAAGACTCTTGCTTCTGGCTCTCCAACTATTACTGTACTTATTCACATACCACATGCACCTGTTCACAAAAAATAACTCTCCAAAATTGGGGTGTGTGTCTTAAACAAGGACACTGATTTCTGTGTCAGGATGGAAGCCTGGGCATAGTGGAATGGTTGCTGGAGGCTGCACTGGCCTCTGCACTGGGCTCCTAGCCACATGGAGGAGGGTCAGAGTGTATTCAGTCAAGAACTATCAGAAATTCTGCAATGGCTAAGATAAAGATAAGCTTATAGCTATGGAGCTGCACAGAGAGGCTGAGTGATGCTGAGGAATAAACTCTGCCCCTCCTCCAAGTGGACAGAATTTACCTATGTTGACACCATGTGGTGGCAGGTAAGAGTCTGGAAAAACCTTTTTTTCCTTCATTCTGTCTTTCAAGAACAAGGTGCATGTCTTATTGTGAGGCATGGCATGCGAGCAAATACGGTATAATCTCTGGTGCGGGCATTTTCAGAAGTAGGTATTCCATTCACCCAGTCCTCCTTCAGTACTCAAGTAATGGGGAAGGGGTCCCTGTTGCAGGTGCACTGTCTACACTTAAATTTCCTTTAACCATCCTAATACAGTCAGATAAGCAAACCATTTCCTGTTGTATGTATACAATTAAACCAGTATAAAAACCCTTGTACTATCATGGTTTATTCCAGTTTAAAAACAGACATAAGCTATGCCAATGTAATGGTATAGCCCAGCAGTGCCCAACCCTGCTGGGCCCAACCTTCTGGGCTGAGCAATGTGGGATTGGTGCATGGGCCCAGTACCCCAAACCCAGATCCAGCCACATGCCAGCCCAATCAGGTCATGTACCTGGTTCCACCCGGGCACTGGCCCAATCTAGCTGCATACCAGCTCAGTCTTGCATCAGTCTGACCCTGAGTGTGCTCCTAGATCCAGTCATGTGCTGGCACCTTTTTGTATACAAGACCATGTTATCCAGCTTTTGAGGCTCCCTATGGATCTAGAAATTTGGCAGAAGGGGAGCCGCAATTAAGACTACCACCACTTCTCCACAACCAAATTTCTGGACCTCTTTGGGGAGCCATACAGGCTGGATGACATGACTTCACTGACCAAATCCAGCTCGCAGGCTCCCTGTTGAGCACTCTAAGTATAGACAAATCAATACTAAGGGCTTTTGTTGTCAGCAAACTTCTTACATCCCTAATGATAATTGTTATACTAGTAAAACTATATTGATAGACACTATTGAAGAGTGTAAGGATCCCACTAACTTCTATGCTCACTGCTGTCACGTTTGCTCAGCACTGGCTTTTAAAATAATAGGCCTGACCCTCTTCTGGTAGTAATTGGCCTGCCCACGTTGGAACTCCTACACCAGATGGGAATTTGGGTTGTTTACAATTAAATGTCCCTTTGTCTTTTTAATTTATTCCTTTCCAAAGCACATTTGTCTTCTATTTATGCAGGAATGATAAGGACACTTGGTGAAATAAAATGATGATGGATTTAAAATGTAACAGAATGTTCCTCCTCACCCTCCCTCAGAACAAAATTAACACATGGGACTTACAGCTACAGGGCATGGAGGCGGATATTTAGTAGACTTTTACAAAGAGCACTAGGTGTCTATATCACTTGAAGTAGCTTCTGCAGTGACCCTACCTAGCATTGAATCAAAGGCCTCCATGCTTCACAGCAATACAAACTGATCATCAGCTGAGGTCAGGAAAGATCCACCTCCCAGTGTTTGAAATATAAAATTATAAATACTGATGTCTTTCCCTTGTGCTCCAATGTTGCTGATAGCATTTCTGTCGCTACCAGCAACTGCAGTCAACCCAGCATTTGCTGCTCATCTCCCATTTTCCAAAATGCTACATGTTGTAGCTTTTCTCAGCCTTTAACTATGTTGACCATTTTTTAGCTTTTCTCTTGTTGTAGCCATTTCATAGAACCATAGAATCATAGAAAATGAGGGCTGGAAGGGACCTCAGGAGGTCATCTAGTCCAACCCCCTGCTCAAAGCAGGACCAGCCCCAACTAAATCATCCCAGGCAAAGCTTTCCACATGGGTCTTAAAACCTCCAAGGATGGAGATTGAACAACCTCTTTGGGTAACCCATTCCAGCATTTTACTACCCTCCAAGTGAGAAGGTTTTTTCCTAATATCCAACCTATACCTCCCTTGCTGCAACTTGAGACCATTGGTCCTTGTTCTGTCATTTGCCACCACTGAGAACAATCTAGCTCCATCCTCTTTCAGGTAGTTGAAGGCTGCTATTAAATCCCCTCTCAGTCATCTTGTCTCCAAACTAAACAAGCCGAGTTTCCTCAGCCTCTCCTCAGAAGTCATGTGTTCCAGCCCCTGAAACATTTTCATTGACCTCCACTGGACTCTCTCCAATTTGTCCACATCCTTTTTGTAGTGGGGGGGGTCCCAAAACCAGACACAGTGATCCACATGTGGCTTCATCAATGCTGAACAGAGGGGAATAATCACTTCGCTTGATCTGCTGGCAACACTCCTACCCATGCAGCCTAGTATGGTGTCAGCCTTCTTGGTAACAAGGGCACACTTGGCTTATATTCAGCTGACTGCCCACTGTTATCCCCAAGGTCTTTTCTGCAGAGATGCTGCCCAGCCAGTCAGCCCCCAGCCTGTCCTGGTGCATGGGATTGTTCCATCCTAAGTGCAGGACTTTGTACTTGTCCTTGTTGAACCTCATGAAATTCCTTTTGTCCCAATCCTCCAATTTGTCAAGGTCACTCTGAATCCTAGTCCTACCCTCCAGCATATCTACTACTCCCCCCAGCTTAGTGTCATCTGCAGACTTGCTGAGCATGTACTCTATGCCATCTTCCAGGTTGTTGATGATGATATTGAACAAAACCAGTCCCAGAACTGACCCTTGGGGCCAGGACTGTCCTTAGAGGTAGGTGAATCGGGGTGACTGCCCTGGGCCTCGCATTTGGGGGGCCCCACAGAGCCAGGTGGAGCAGCCACGGTGACTCCACGCCACCAGTGCCGGCTTCGCATCTGGCCACTTGCTACCTCCCCCCGCCCCTCTGATTTGCCCCAGGCCCTGCACCCTGCTTGGGTCGGCTCTGCCTGGGGCACTCCATTTGATATTAGCTACCAACTAGACATCAGGCCATTGATTACTACCCTCTGAGCCCAACAATCCATCCAGTTTTCTGTCTACCTTACAGTCCATTCATCCAACCCATACTTCCTTAGCTTGCTTGTGAGAATCTTGTGGGAGACTGTATCAAAAGCCTTGCTAAAGGTATATAACATCTACAGATCTCCCCACATCCACAGAGCCAGTCATCTCATCATAGAAGGCAATCGAGGTTGGTTAGGCATGATTTGTCCTTGATGAATCCATGCTGACTGTTTCTAATCCTCTTTTACTCCTCCAAGTGCTTGGAAATTAATTCCTTGAGGACCTGCTCCATGATTTTTCCACAGACTGAGGTGAGGCTGACCAGTCTGTAGTTACCTGGATCCTCCTTCTTCCCTTTTTTAAAGATGGGCACTAGATTTGCCCTTTTCCAATCATCTGGGACCTCTCCCAATCACCATGAATTTTCAAAGATAATGGCCAGTGGCTCTGCAATCACATCGGCCAACTCTCTCA